GGAACCCAGGAAGCCAAAGAGAAGAGTGTTCAGCCAGGGGGCAGTTTAAGCATAGGCACTGAAACAAGGCGGGCTTGTGCTTACTCACTGATCTAATTGTTAATATATGCTCTGTAAAAAGAAGACAGGGTAAGGTGAGTGGAGATTGCCAGAGGTGTACATGGGGAGAATTCACTGATACCGAGTAGTAAAAGAGACCTCACTCAAGGTTTCGTTTGAAGAGAGACCTGAAAAGAAATGAGGCGCATGCTATACGGTGGAAGAGAATTCCACACAAACTCTTCCAGTTCAGTGTTGACTTTGAGAATTTGGACTATACGCTGTTTATTTCCTCCTTAGAAGTTCTTTCTCTGTTGTAAAAGATTGGCTTCTATTACTTTTCTTATTTTTTCTGGAGGTTACAGAAACTTTTTTTTTTTTTTTTCAAATTTTTATTGTTATTTGGGTGAAAGTTTACAGAGCAAATTAATTTTTCATACAGCATTTCATACATATTTTGTTTCATGACATTCCCTGCAATTCCCCACAATGTAACAGCTCTCTTTCCACTTCCTCCCCATAGTTACCGCTTCCCTGTGTCCTTTCCTCCCATGCACTCCCACCCACCACCCACCCTTCTGTGCAAACACTGCCCTTCAGGTTACAGAAACTTTAAATACTGTAGAACAATGCATGTTATCACTGTGAACCCCTTTCTTCAGTTGTCCTCATGAGGGGTGTTTCCCAGCAGGAGGTAAAGGACCCCTGTCTGCTTATACTCAGAACTTTAAGCACTTAGGTAGGAAGATATTTTCTCCCAAATGTGTTATTCCAATCAGTCTAGTGCCTCAAAGTTCCTAAACACTGAAATAAATCCCCAATAAAATAATCCAAAGCAAAGGTTTTCAACATTGTGTTAGGGACGTCTTCTGGTAATCGGTCTGTAAGGATTTTACTAGACTTTTCAGCAGAACCACTTTGTTCAGATGTATATGCAATAGGCAGAATTATGTGGAAGCTATTTATCAGACACCTGCTACCGGAAAGGGAAAGGCAGCTTTTAGATGCAGTTTCTTTCTTATAAAGATTTCTTGTTGTTGTTATGTGCTGTCGAGTTGGACCCGACTCATAGTGACCCCTCCTTGGGTTTCCGAGGCAGTATCACTATGGAAGTAGATTGCCCCATCTTCCTTCTGAGGAGTGGCTGGTGGGTTTGAACCGCCAGCCTTCTGGTTAGCAATTAAGTGCCTTAGCCACTATGCTACCAGAGTTCCCAAAGATTTCTTAGGAAGTATTTTTCTTGTCCTGTTGTTGTTGTTGTTAAGTGCCATCAAGTCGGCCCTGACCCATAGCAACCCCTCCTTGGGTTTCCGAGGCGGTATCACTACGGAAGTAGATTGTGTGGGAAGGGCTTCCTTCTGAGGAGTGGCTGGTGGGTTTGAACCGCCAACCTTCTGGTTAGAGCCACCAAACTTCTAACTTGTAGCTCACTTATGAAATTTAGTATGATTCTGAGTGGGCTTCGTAATTGCTTATTGCATGGGAGCCTAGTGGACCACCTCTTGGTTTCCATGTAAATCAGATAACATGATACATGATGGTAAATAAAAACTGAACCTTCTGGTTCAATATAGGCCGTAGACCTAAGTTTAAAATCTTGAAATCTCTGAACAGAGCATTCACCTGCCACATGTCCAAATTCTCTTTATCCTTTTAGGAGGCAAGAATCTAAGTGAGATGGAGATTCTTCAAGAAGTAGAATTAAGATACCCGTCACATGAAGAGCTTCTCTGCTCGCAAATCTGGCAACAAGTTATAAGGGAGTTAACCCGGGGTCAGGATTCTATGATAAATATTCAAGAAACTATTTCTCACTTCCAAAAACAAAGCGATGTACTCCATAAAGAAGAGGAGTTTGGTAAAAGCCTTAATCAGAGTCCATATCTTCAAGTTCATGAGAGTGCCCACATTGGAGAAGAACCTTTGGTAGAGGAGGAATGTGGAAAAGGTTACATTTGGAGCTCTCATCTTCAACTAAACCAGAGGATGTATGCAGAAGAGAAGCCATGTAATTGTGGAAAATGCGATGATGCTTTCTATAGGTTTTCAAGTCTTCAAGCCCATCAGAGAATCCACAATAGAGAGAAATCATACAAGCATGATGCGTTGTGTGAGGACTTCAGTCAGTGGTCATATCTTCATCATCATCAGAGAGTCCACACTGGAGATAATCCAAACAAATATGAGGAGTGTGGGAGGAATGTTGGGAAAAGCTCACATTATCAAGCTCATCTAATAGCCCACACTGGAGAGAAACCCTATAAATGTGAGGAGTGTGGGGCAGATTTTAGTCAGAGTTCATATCTTCAAGTCCATCAAAGAGTCCACACTACAAAGAAACCTCATAAATGTGATGAATGTGGCAGGGGCTTCAGTTGGCGTTCTCGACTACGGGCTCACCAGCGCATCCATACTGGAGAAAAACCATACAAGTGTGATGCATGTGGTAAAGTCTTCAGCTATATCTCATACCTTAATATTCATTGTAGAATCCACACAGGAGAGAGACCTTATAAATGTGAGGAGTGTGGGAAGGGCTTCAGTGTGAGTTCACACCTTCAAGCTCATCAGATAAGCCACACTGGAGAGAAACCATACAAATGTGAGGAGTGTGGGAAGGGCTTCTGTCGAGCCTCAAATCTTATGGACCATCAGAGAGGTCATACTGGAGAGAAGCCATATCAATGTGATGCATGTGGGAAGGGCTTCAGTCGTAGCTCAGATTTTAACATTCATTTTAGAGTTCATACAGGGGAAAAACCATATAAATGTGAGGAGTGTGGTAAGGGATTCAGTCAAGCCTCAAATCTGTTGGCCCATCAAAGAGGCCACACTGGAGAAAAACCATACAAATGTGGTACATGTGGGAAAGGCTTCAGTCGTAGTTCAGATCTTAATGTTCATTGTAGAATCCACACAGGAGAGAAACCCTATAAGTGTGAGAAGTGTGATAAGGCCTTCAGCCAGTTCTCAAGTCTTCAAGTCCATCAGAGAGTCCACACTGGAGAGAAACCATATCAGTGTGCAGAGTGTGGGAAGGGTTTCAGTGTAGGTTCCCAGCTTCAAGCCCATCAGAGATGCCACACTGGAGAGAAACCATATCAGTGTGAGGAGTGTGGGAAGGGCTTCTGTCGGGCCTCCAATTTCCTGGCTCATCGTGGCGTCCACACTGGAGAGAAGCCATACCGATGTGATGTGTGTAGTAAGCGCTTCAGACAGAGATCATACCTTCAAGCCCATCAGAGGGTCCACACTGGAGAGAAACCATACAAATGTGAGGAATGTGGGAAAGTCTTCAGTTGGAGTTCATACCTTCAAGCCCATCAGAGAGTCCACACTGGAGAAAAGCCATACAGATGTGAGGAGTGTGGGAAGGGCTTCAGTTGGAGTTCGAGTCTTATAATTCATCAGCGAGTCCATGCTGATGATGAGGGTGCTAAGGATTTTCCTTCATCACGGAATTCACACAGGAAAGAATCTTTATAAAATTTTACATTTTAGTACCTCATATGGGTGCTGATATATTCCATTTATCAGAGCTGTCATAGGAGACAAAATATTTGTTTCATAAAAGGGTCAGTATTTCAGCCAGAGTTTATGCTACAGTGGTCAGGAGACCATACAGCAGAGAAGCCTTGTGAGAGAGGAAATACAAAGACTTCATTCAGAACCTTGGTATTTAGCACCTATTACACAGGAGGGAGGTCTTACGAAGGATAAGTCTGATCTGGAATTAACCAAAGTACAAAGATGGAAATGCCAAAATTTATCTCACTGGAATATAAGCTCTAAGATTTAGGAACAAATCTACTCGGTCTTTTCGGTGCATAACACATCGTAGGTTTTCAGTAATTGTTAAATGAGTAAAAAGGAGAAAATCATATTTGAGATTTTATTCATGTCATCTCTAAAAATTTCTATAAAATTGTACTCAAAAGAGGAATTCTGCAAGGCTTATATAGAACATTTAAGTTAGACACATGGACTTATTTCTCAAAACCTACAGGTCTTGTGGATGGGTGTTTATCAAACTGAAGGTTGTAACACATTAGTGGGGTCCAGAAGTTGGCTTTCTGAATTGTGGCCAGAATTTTGGTATTGGGAGCTCTGGTAGCATAGTGCCTAAGGCACTTGACTGCTAACCAGAAGGCTGGCAGTTCAAACCCACCAGCCACTCCTTGGAAGGAAGGTTGGGCAATCTACTTCCGTAGTGGTACTGCCTCAGCAACCCAATGAGGGGTCACTATGAGTCGGGGCCAACTTGACGGCACACAACAACAACAATTGTACCATAATGAGGTATAATTTTCAAGCAGTAACATGCGTTAAGTCTCAAGTTGACACCTTCATAATCTTTGACAAAAATTTATAGGGTATAATAATCACTGAGCTCAATATATAAAATATTTTTATCATACCAGAAAGTTTCCTTGTGCCCATTTCTAGTTAATTCCACCTCCAGTGGCAACAAGTATTAGGATTTCTATAACCATAGACTAGCTAGGCCTGTTTGGGAGCTCTGGTAGCATAGTGGCTAAGACACTTGCCTGCTAACCAGACGGCTGGCGGTTCAAACCCACCACCCACTCCCCGGAAGGAAGGTTGGGCAATCCTACTTCGTAGTGATACTGCCTCGGAAACCCAAGGAGGGGTCGCCATGAGTCAGGTTTGACTCGATGGCACATAACAACAACAACAACAGCTAGGCCTGTTTAGGGGTTCCATATGTACTCTTTTGTGTCTGGATGCTTCTGATAAAATATATATGATCATCTCAATGCATACAGAGAATGCATTTGACACAATTCAACATCCATTGTTTAAAATTTCTCAGTGAGATAGAAGGCATTTATGAAGATCTATAACCTATTTTTGTTGTTATTAAGGGATAATTTATTTACAGGAAAATGGGCTCTTTGCTGTATCATTTTGAGATTTGGTAGAAGCTTCCTGTAATGTAATGGCTACCACATCAAGCATTTAACAGTTCCAACATTGTCCCTCTACTCCCTAAATTCCCTGGTGGTGTCAGCTCCTCTTCCCACCACTAGTTCTTAGCAACCAATGATTCATTTTCTGTGTGTATTGTTTGCCTTTTTCAGAAGGCCATATAAATGGAATCATATAATTTGTAGCCTTTTGAGTGGGTTTTACTTACTTTAATGCTTCTGAGATCCATCTCTTCTGTATGTATTAGTAATGTTCCATTCTGTTGCTGAAATATTATATTGTATGGCTGTGACACGGTTTGTATGTACATTATCCAGCCTAAGGACATTTGAATTGTTTCTAGTTGTTGCCAGTTATGACAAAATCAGTTTTAAATATTCACATACAAGTTTGCATCTGAATATTATTTTTGTTTTGAGTAAATACCTAGGAACAGGATTGCTGGGTTGTATGTTTAGAATGTTTTAACTTTATGAAAAACTGACACATTTTTCTAAAGTGGCTACAGTACCATTTTGCACTGAGTTCCAGCTGTTCCTTATTTTGATCGGCACTTGATGTTGTCAGGGTTTTGTTTTAACATCTCTAATAAGTTTAACTCAGAAGGAAGGTTGGGCAATCCTACTTCCGTAGTGATACTGCCTCGGAAACCCAAGGAGGGGTCGCTATGAGTCAGGGCCGACTCGACAGCAAACAACAACAACAACAACAATAAGTTTATGGGAGCTCTGGTGGTGTAGTACCTAAGGCATTTGACTACTAACCAGAAGGCTGGTGGTTCAAACCCACCAGCCACTCCAGAAGGAAGATTGGGCAGTCTTCTTCTGTAGAGATATACCTTGGAAACCCAAGGAGAGGTTACTATAAGTCAGATCTGACTTCATGGCAGTGAGAATAGGTTTATATTGGTAACTTTTAGTTGACATTTCTCTAATGACTATGTTGAGAAATAATTATGTAAGAAGAACAAGGGATGCCCTAGAGCATAGTTGGCTCTATGTTGGATGACCACGTTTGCATCATATGTAGGACGTAAGTAGCACATGCAGGTCCACATTTTGTCTTGTATCCTTTTGCCTCCAGGAGTCATCAAGTAATTTCTTACAGAGAAACTGAACTGATTGAATGCCCAAACAGATGGGGAGGACAGTATTGGTAAAAGGAGGCCCAAGGAGTTTGGCATTGAACTGGAGTGGCAGAATCTCAGAGCAAGGCTATGAGCTAGCTAAATGAGTCATTGTAAGCCAAGGAAAGTCTGAACGCACCACAGTGACATGTTTGGGCCTCAAGTATGTAGACCTTGGCGTGGTGAGGTACCCATATGTTATGATGGGAGTCATGGGCATTTTCTTTTCAGATCCAGTAGTGGTTCACGATTCAGTATTGCCATAATGGGATGAAGCCAGAGCTGACATCCTAGTTAAGAAAATCAATGCTGGAAACATATTTAAGATCTCCTTTTCCTTGTTGGAAGATCCATACATTTGCAGGTATGAGACCAGGTGCTAAGACTATTGTCTTCAAAGAGGGACCTGTAGTTAGCCAACAGTAAAACCATTATTTTAGGGAAGAATAGCAGGCTTTGGCAGAGAGCTTTCTTATATGGAGTAACCTGTTTGGGCATCAAGAATCTTCACTTTTCAATAGGGCCAATTCTTTCATCTGCTGTAGATCTGGATGCCAATATAGCACAGACTGCACCACGGATGAAAAAGGATAGTGAAATAGGGAGGTGTCATTAAGTGGGAAAAGGAGTTCTAGGTAGGGTCGAGAGACTAGAAGGGGAAGGAGGGAGCCCTGTATTCATTTTATTGGGGTGTGTTGGGACGTAGAAATTGATAGTTCAGTGTAACTAAGGCAGTGCCACTCTAACAGAAAAATACTACAAATGGAAATGGCTTGAACACACAGGTGTTTTGGTCTCTAGGAGGCTAGAAGTCTGAGTTCAAGGTGCCAGCACTAGGGTCTGGATCGACCTTGGGCTTCAGCTCTGCCTCTTCCTTCTGGCCCACTGGAGCCAGAGGTGTCTCTTCACTCAGGTAGTTGCTGGCTGCTGAGGCTGACAAACCCAAAGTCGACAAGTAAAATGGCATAGTTCCAGTATTACCAAGCAACATAGCAGACCACTAGTTCAAGTCCAGAGACAGTCCCAAGATTGGCAGGAAACATGGAAGGCTGCTGATTGAAGACTCGGAAGGATGCTAATTGAAGACTCAGCTACATGCAGGGTCCAAGTGTACCAAAAAACTGCAGAGACCTTTCTGAAAACTAATTTTTTTTTTCATTTTAAATTTTCATTTTAAGAGCTTGTTTTACATTCAACGTCACACGTACATTTAGTTTCATTCCCCATTCACCATGTCCAGCCCTAACCCAGTCTCCTCCCTGCTCTAAAAACTTCTTATAAATGGGAAGCAGGCCACATCGCTAAGGCAACTACTCAGCTGCTCCAGTAGATTCCACCATGTAGTTGATTACCAATCTCATCATGGGGAGTAACTACATCCGGCTGTCCAGCCACTCAAAACCAGGCCCAGCCAAGTTGACACATAACCTTAGCAACCACAAACCAAACAAAACACCAAACTCACTGCCATCTAGTCGATTGTGTCTCATAGCAACTCCCTTGGGCTTCCAAGGTGGTAAATCATTACAGAAGTAGATTGCCCAGTCTGCCTTCTGCAGAGTGGCTGTTGGGTTTGAACTGCCGGCCTTCTGGTTAGCAGTCAAATGCCTTAGGCACTGCGCCACCAGCACTCCTTTAACTACTTCAGGCTGTGAGCAAAAGAGAGCCATTTGTGAAATCATTCTCTGTTTTGTAACTTCAGGAGCCTTCAGTAGGCCATTTTTTTTCTATTGGGCCTGCTATCTCTGGATGATAGGACAAATGGAAATTACAAAGTTTAGTCACTGTTAACTACTGTGCCTAAATGAATGAGCAGTAATTGTGTGTATGCAAATCAGAGTCAATGATACTTGGGCCCCAAAGGAAACTGACCAAGTTTTGGTGTATCCAGTAATGTTGATACATATGTAGCATACTGGGAATGGTGAGCCAAGGGTAGCCCCCCAGTCATTTTGAGGGCAAAGCCATTTCTGCCAGCAGATTGAGGCAATAGCATAATGAAATCAGTTTGACAGAGTTTTCATCCTTTGTAATAGATATTCATTGGTTGTGATTGATGCCTATGGTGAGACAAGGTGCATAGGTCACATTGGGAGAGTAAGGGCTTGAGTCAGGAGCAATGGCTTGGGGATGCCATGGATTGCTTCCCGAAGTCAAAGAGCCTTGGTCCATGATGTGGGTGATACTTGCGTTTATTTGAGAAACATGAGCAAGTGGGCAGCTATCGTGTTAAAATGAGCCTCATCTATGGGGGCCTTTGTATGAGCTGAAATATGGTGACTTTAATTACAATATGTAAAGTATGAGAGGCAATGTGTTCCCTATATCATAGACCCCATAAGGAATGATTCTGATCATGAAATCTATTTTGAGCTCATTGACTGAAGCAAACAGCCCAGGAGTCTAAAAA